AGGAAAGAGTGTTTTTTCATAGTGAACTCTTTTCCGGCCATTAGGAAGTGATGTCTACTTCATCTATGTTTTGAATGACAGTGGAAAAAATTATATTTGAAAGTATACAGAAAACTGATATTTTAAATTGTAATAATATTCCACAAAATTTACAGTGTTTTCTGTATATTTGATCAAATAGATACAGCCTTGATGAGCATAAAAAACGTCTTTAAAAAACATTAAAAATCTACTGATCCCAAACTTCTGAACAGCAGTGTAGTCTCAGCTTTTTGATCAAAATGTTGCGTTTATTTTATGAAACTTGCCCACATTCAAGTGTTGTTAAAAAAAGAATGCACGAAGCTGTTTAAAAGCAGAGGCCCTGATCTTTCTTTTGACATATTGCATTTTCAGATATTCATAAAACAAAATATTCTGGGGGCCATGACATTTTTGTAAAAATGATTAAAAATGCTGGCAGTGGCTGGTAACTTTTTTTTTTTTAACGCTGGCAGGGAAAGAGTTAAAAATGTAAAAATAAACATCACAGATTCATGCATCTTTGGTCAGTGGGGTCAAATAGTCGGAGACTATACTGTATAATACTGTATATTCTGCTCTGTTTCTAGGTGACTAATCAAATATAAGCAATCAATGCTCAAGATGCTCTTATGCTGGAAAACATCGTTTCAACTTTTCACAAAAACCATCCTGCTGCTTAAATTTGTATGCATAACATGGCATTGAAATAGAAATAAATGCAAAGCATCTGTGTGTCTGTTTGTCTGAACACACAGGGATTTGATTGGCTGATGCTGACCCACAGGGCGGTCTCTGTTCAATAAAGGTATTATAAGCTCAATTGTGAACCTGTGAACAGGACGTCTCCTCCGTCCAGCGTGGCTGATTCATCGGTCATCTCCACTATATTAAGCCCAAGCTCCGTCAACGCAGCTTTCACGGCCTCCGTCTGAAACAGAAAAACATTTACATTTATTCATTTTGCAGAAACATACAAAAAACACTGCATAAAACCCACACAAAATACCCTAGTAAAGGCTATAACATATACTATAACAGTCTCTCTTTCTTTAACAACTACAAAAGGCTTTTAATTAATTTAACTCTTTTTATTGACGCTTTTCAACAAGGAGATGAAAAAGGAAAAAGACAATAATCATCACTTCAAGGTTTCAATGTTACATGAGATCAGGCAAAAAGTATTTCTTATGCTTATATACTGTATATATATTATATATATATATATATATATACACACACACACAGTAGTGGCCAAAATTATTAGAACACTTGACAGGTCTGAAAATACTGACCTTTTTTGCCTCCAAAACATGATTTCATTTCATAATGTTCATGAAACATGCAGATGGTTGCTCTGAGCACAACAAATATCAGATGAAGTGAATCATACTGTTTTTATCCACTTTTAACTTTAATATTTGGTATGTCCCCCTTTTGCAGCAATTATACAGCGACACATCTCTCTGGCATTATGCATAGTGTCAATATATTTCCTGAGAACTTCAACACTAAAGTTATCCCATGCCTTCTGCAACTCAAGCCAAAGTACTGTCCAGTTTATTTTCCAACTCATCCCAAATTTGCTCGATGGGGTTGTAGTTCATTTTATGGGCATTGTAATGGCACACAAACACACACACACACACACACACACACACACACACAAACAAATTAAAGATAAACAACAATAATAAACATACAAAAATAAATATGCAAAAAAACAAAGAAAGAAATAAATAACTATCAAAGCTGAATATTTAAAAATAAGAATATAAAAAATGTAAAACAATAGTATAAAAAAAAAAAAAAAGAAAAAAAAAAAAAAATCCAGAAATTAAAAAAAATTTTAATGGAAAAATGGCATTGAAAGTAACAAAAAATGTTCTAGATATTTAGCATGTGAGGGCCAAAAATCTCCCTGTTTTTGTTTGTTCTGATCATTTTTTCTTAGTTATTTTTTCTTAGTATCACATAAAAAAGCATCAATTTTCCAAAGATGTGCATCATCAAAACAATTCGGACAGGAATATAATTAAATAAAACAAAAGATATATCACAATACGAAAATAAACAGTGTTTAAAGCACTTATTTTTCCAGGTGAAACAGTTTCTGAGGGATCAATAAAAACACTCGTGAGGGCCGGGCCATGCCTCCAGTGTGCTGTGATTGGCTGATTAGCCCGTCAATCTAATAACGCCAGCCAATCACGTTCACAATCAGTCAAACTGATGGAAATGAACTAATTACACAGTACACCCCACTTTCTGTCACATCCCAATGACAACACGAGTCGCTTCCCTGAGAATTCACTGACTAACCGTCCAAAAAAGTGACTATTGCAACATCAGTGGTGTAAGAAATCAAACTGAACTCTGCCCTCATAAAAGTAAAAGCACTCCTGTTAATCTGGTCCAGGAGGCGAATGTTGGCCTGCAGGGAAAAAGCGAATCTCGGACGCTGCCAGGAGCCGCGGATGACATCATCAGCAGGGGCCGAGGGTGATGTCATGCTGAAGGAAACATGTAAAAGGTTTATGAGGAGAAAGATTTAGAGGAAGTGAGGAGCGGACAGTGAGGTGCGTGTGTGAGGTTTACAGCTGCTTTAGCGGCTCTCGGGGGTCTGGTTTTTCGCAGCATGAATCAGTGTTTCCACGGCGATATCTGGCGATGAGGTCACCGCGGACTCTGCTGTCGCCAAGCATGAGGTCATCCAGGTATGTCGCCACGGCAACCACAACCCCCCCCCTTAACCTCACTTAAATAAGTGAAGACACAAAAACACACAAGAGCAGCTCAACAAACACAGACAAACAAGAGCGCCGATGTAAAACTATTTTTTTTTATTGGCATTACTAGAAGAATATTTATAAGTATGTTTTGGTCTAACACAAATGTCTCTCAGCTTTTTAATAACTACAAAAGTCTAGTGATTAGTTTTGTGATTAAACTCTTTTTATTCATAAATATAATTTATTTATATTTATAAACTAAACAAAAATATCATTATATTATTTTTTATTAATTTTGTATGTTTTTATTCCTATATATATATATGTGTGTGTGTGTGTGTGTGTGTGTGTGTGTGAGACCAGAAGATGAAGATAAAAAAAAACAGGAATATCAAAAAATATAAAAACAATTCAGTAATAATAAAAATAAATTTAAACGTCAGTTAGTTTTGTTCTGTTAACAGATTTAAATGTCGGTCAGTTTTGTTCAATTAGAGATTTAAACGCCAGTTGGTTTTGTTCTGTTAACAGATTTAAACGTCGGTCAGTTTCGTCCAATTAGAGATTTAAACGTCAGTTGGTTTCGTTCTGTTATCAGTTTTAAATGTTAAACGATAATGAATGCAGCAGTCGTCATTTACTCCCGACATCTGAGCCGCTGAAGATGCAGAGGATTAATGTTACATTCATTTTTGAAGGGAATGCGCCGATCCCCGATCTGCCTAAATGCGTCTATGTTCGTGCGAATCATTCATGATCCAGCTTCATCAACAGTAGAAGTGAGTATAAGGGTTTTTTATGAATCTGTGCAAATCGCCTTTCCTAATAACGTGCTAGTTAGCAAGTTCTGTGGCTAAAGTAAACAGTATCATGAGAACGGCTCGTCACCCACGGAAGAGAGGGGCGGGGTCAGCAGAGCTCATTAGCATTTAAAGCAACATGAACTAGAATGGCTTGCTGAAAACAAAGCTGATTTTGACGGTAAAAAGGGTTTTTTACACTAACATTGAGAAATTTTAACCAAAGTATGTTATATACTTTTCATTAAGACCCTAAAGAATCATATCAAACTGTGGAAAATGGGCATCCGATGACCCCTTTAAACATCGGTCGGTTTTGTTCTGTTAACAGATTTAAATATTGGTCGGTTTTGTTTTAGTAACATATTTAAACGTCGGTCGGTTTCGCTCTGTTAACAGATTTAACGTTGGTTGGTATCGTTCAAGTAACCGATTTAAATGGTGGTCAGTTTTGTTCTATTAGAGATTAAAATGTCGGGGGGGGGTGGGGGGTTTCTAGTAAAAGATTTAAACGTCGGTTTTGATTAAAGATTTTTATTTATTTATTTATTTTACAAAAATAGTCTTATTGAAAACTAACATTTTAGTTTTAAAGAACACATTAAGATTTGTGGAACCAAAAAACGAGTTTTTCAAAATCAGAAAACAGAGTAAAATAGTCTACATAAAACAAGGTAAACTAAAATGTGCTCTCTCTCGCTCTATTTACGTATGTATATATACAATAATAATCTAAAAGAATGCCACTGTTAAACAAAAACAAACAACACAAATAACAACGCTGTTTCCGTGTGCAAACATTACAATTTGAATGTTAAAGCATCTGCCACTACCTGGACTGTTCCAATGATCCCTTTAATTTAATCCTGGTATTTCAATCTCAGGAATTGTGACTCATGGGTTTTTTATCCACACTCGGTGTGGAGCTCACCCTCCTCTCTGTCCTTCATTGACTCTCTCTGTGTCTCATTTTGTCCCGACATGCTCCGGCAGTCCCTGGATTCCACCTGCATGCATCAGCGCTGGTCATTATCCAGCGACTCCTGCGGGACGAGGGACGCATTCCTGCCATTCCACTGCGCATGAGCACAAACGGCCTCTAATGCCACGCAGAGCGGCTCTCAGCGGATAAAGTGTCCGGTGTACAGTGAGGAATAAATGGCCTACTGTACCCAGAGATGAGATTAGAGTCCACAGAGACATCCAGCGCTCCTGCCGAGTCACTGAGATCCGTGTCAGAAAAACCATCCTGATGCTTGAGCGGACATTGAGGACCTGAATGACTCAATCACAACTAAACAATAAATGATGCATCCTGATCAGGGTGGGGAAACCATTTTCCCACCAGAAATAAAATAAACAATTTAGACCAAAACGAAAATAATTTATTATACTATAAATAATAAAACAACAAAATATAAAAAAATATACATAGAAAATAATCAGAAAAGATGAAAAATTCAGACCAAAAGGTCAATAGCCAAAAAGAATAAAATAAAAATATAATAATTTATAGTAAGAAAGAATATAAACAATATGTTCACAAGAGCAGCTGAGGATGTAAACGAATCAATTACAATTAAATAATAAATGTTGTGTCCTGAACAAAGGAAACCCTTTTGCCCAACAGCCATTAAAAAAATGAAATAAAATCAAATTCAGACCAAAAACTGAATGCTCAAAAAAAGTACACACACTCACACAGACACAGACACAGACACATACACATACACATACACATACACATACACATACACATACACACACACAGACAGACACAGAGTGTGTGTGTGTGTGAGTGAGTGAGTGAGTGAGTGAGTGAGTGAGTGAGTGAGTGAGTGAGTGAGTGAGTGAGTGAGTGAGTGAGTGAGTGAGTGAGTGAGTGAGTGAGTGAGTGAGTGTGTGAGTGAGTGAGTGAGTGAGTGAGTGAGTGAGTGAGTGAGTGAGTGAGTGAGTGAGTGAGTGAGTGAGAAAGTGAGTGTGTGTGAGTGAGTGAGATAAAGATAGATAAAAACAGATTTATCTGTTAGATAAAGCCCCCCAATGCAAAGTCCACGGATCACCAGCCTGTGTACATGACCTAGACTACCAAACACCAGCACAATAAGCTGGCATTTGTACCCAAGGTTCTCAATGGTAGATATCAATGACTGATATTTTAAAGTCTTAGAGCAGTAAGAGTCCTCCATAAACAAGTCAAATGCACATGACACCTCAAATAGTGTAACTGTTTTGCCATTCTGAGAGATGTTAACGATATCTGGTGTATTAGCAATTCCTAGAAAAGTATTTGCAGGTGAGTTGAACCATTCAGACTGTACAGTAGTGTTTAAAGATCTGCTCATCAGCCACACGGGGAATCTGAGCAGCAATGAGGTCCACAAGTCTGTCATGTCTGG